CTGTTGTCGTATAGGATCCCTCTTTCGTCACACGTGACAATCCGATTCCGAAATGGATCTTTTTCATTTCGGGTTAGAAGCGTCGAAGCGGCTGTCAGACGCTGGAGCCTCTGCGAGTCACTTAATTCGTGCGGGATCCATTGCTCCATCTTCTTTACCTTTCCGATTGATTTCAAATGATCCAAAATTGTTGAATGATCAACCTGAAGGTCCTGTGCGTATTCTCGAGATGTTTTGGTCGAATCTCCTTCCACCAGTTTTTCCAATTCTTCATCGTCAACTCTGGAAGGCCTTCCTTGACGTTCTTTGTCATGAAACGTCTCATCGCCGTGAAATTGAAATCGCCGAAACCAAAAAGCGACCATACCATAAGAAACACTTCCCTCGCCAAATGCCCTGTTGATATTATCAGTCGCTTCTGTTGCTGTATGGCCAAGCATGAACTCGTAGAAAAAAAGTGTCCTAAATTGTTCCTTATCCATGCTCCTAAAACACTCAATTTTTATTCAAAATAAAGACTGATTGTAAAGTAAAAAAAACATAAAAGAGAAGAACATAGATCAATCACAATTAGCTAAAAGTTTAGTATCAATAACGCAAAAGGACTCTTAAAATCAAAGACAAAGATTGAGTCTTGTTTATTTCGATTACTTTCCCACCAACCTAATAGTTAGCATACTTAGCCAAAACTTTAAAGTTAAAGATTCCCAATCGCCCGACGAGCCATCAACATCTTCAACTCACCAAAAGGAAAGCCTCGGGTGCTAGAACTAAAATAATAACAATAATCCCTTTCTCCGACGTCGAATTGATGATTGGTGGGGCAAGTGGCTCCGGGATAATTATCCAAATATTTGAGTCATTCTTTAAAAAAGAATACTCAGGCCATGTCTAGAATTTGATGAATGAATTAGAATCACAAATCACCTACATCCACGATCATTTGAGCATTGGTTGGAGATAAATTTATTGACATAATCTCAGCGCAATAGAAAGCGAATAATGGCCATAGAATGTAATGAAGGAGACCGAGAAAAATCCAAGTAGATTTGCGAAATCTCAACAATTTTATGTTTTTTTGCTTAAAGATTGGAAACCATTGATCATTTGGAGCACTAAACAAACTTTAACCAATGTTTTGCGGGTAAAATTTGTCGATGTCGATAGATGACACATTGAATCGTGGCCATGATGAGAATGAGTAGACAAATTGCACAAATTTCCTAAAAGTTTCCATAAGTTTATTTGTGTATTTATAAATAGTCAATATTCAGTTATTAAGTTATATTCATTAGTTATAATAAAACTATTTACGGTAGTAGTAGACATTTACTTACCGCAAATACTGTAATAGTACCCGACCCCCCTCGCGTACAGTCGTGTAGTCGCAAAAGTTTTTAGTATTTCATTTTTTTCAAAGCGCGCGTACTTTCAAAAAATGCGTCTTTGGTAGCAAAAAATAGCCCTTAATTTCAGCTATTTTTTGATACCTAAGTGTGCATTGTAGCATAAACCAGTGTCGAGAAAAACGCGTTCGAAGCTAGACTACGCAACACTCTGCACTGTCATTATGGGGGTGAGGTACTATTACAGTATTTACGGTAAGTATTAAAAAAAACAAAGAATGGAAGATTGAATGGAAGATTTTCGATCTCAAGCTACTTTTGGGTCAACAGTCAATGATTTGAGTGGAGACCTTTTGCGAAAAGGTTCTAGTTATGATTTGATTGACTTTAATTGATTTGACAAATGTTGCAAGTGTTTTCAAGTTGCTTGAAAGACTTGAAAACAGCAAGTGAGCAAGTTCTGCTTCGTAGTTCGAGTTAAATCTTGCTTCAAATGATCAAAATTTTAACTGTATTGAAAATTTCAAGATTTTAACAAGCATACAGGATCAGAGAAAATATTTGTGTATTTATAAATATTCAATATTCAATTATTCAGGTATATTCATTAGTTATAATAAAACTATTTAGTTACTATACATTTACTTACCGTAAATACTGTAATAGTACCCCATCCCCATAACGACGGTGCGGAGTGTTGCGTAGTCTAGCTTTGAACGAGTTTTTCTCGACACTGGTTTATGCTACAATGCGCGCTTAGGTATCAAAAAATAGCTAAAATTCAGGGCTATTTTTTTGATAACAAAGATTCCGTTTTACTCATGTATCTCTTTCATTTGACGTCAATATTCTCTTTCACTTCCAAAATCGTCTCTATTTTCTCTGTTTAAGTATTAAAACAAACAAAGAATCGCTTGAATGGAAGACCGACGATTGTCCAAAGAGGACCATGCAATTTGCCAGTTATTGTTGGGAAAAACGCCTCCGGAATGCCTGTGTGAAGGAGAAGTTCGAAAATGATAGATAAGATCTGAATTCGTTGATAAGATTGACTCGAGTTCATCTGAGACAATTGTATTGAATACTGTGACTGATATGTTTCAAAAGCTTCTAAGTTCTTTGTAAATCTTTTCCAATCCCAATCCTTTTCAACTTTTGAAATTGCTATGCGCTTTATATAGAGTTGTACCGGCCTATCAAAGCCTTGACAAGCAAGCAAACTCAAGTCTTTGATCAATATTTGATAGTATTGATCCTAAGCCTAAACCCTGATGTTTTATACCTGATGCCACATCAAATGCGGCTTATATCCTTTCATATTCGCCGGCGTTGCAACGATGATCACGTAAAGAGTTGACAAGTTCACAATACCGCCAAAAGCTCCAAAAACTGCCATAAAAGTGATGTAGGATGTTGGTGTTGCGTAAGCAATCGATTGAGTGATATTAATGCTCATATTGAAAAAGAAATGAAATATTCTATCAGAAAAGGTGATTGAAGCTTGACAGGTGGAATTATTGGGAAAATCATGGCGTTTTTTTTGTTTGATTTATCGAATGGGACTTTTTTTGTTTGGTAGAATCAAGAGATTGAATTATTAGGTGCAAAAGTGGACTCTGTTTAGCGTCTACCATTGTTGATTGTGAATAAAAATTCACCAAATTCATAAAAACCTTAACAATGGATCTTCTTGTACTTTAAACTCTAGCAAAACGCGTCTCTTCTGGCATACAGGACAGTTTAGTAAGCCATTAGCTGAAAGTTAGCGCTAGTAAAACATTAACTGTGCTAGAAAGAGTGCGTATATCGGAGTGCAAAAAGTACGAAATTGTAGGCAGATTACTGTTGAACAAGGACAATTTCAGTCGAATTTTTTGGATTCCATATCTAGATCACAATCCAGAACACATTTCCCTTCTTGCAAACAACTTTTTTGAAGCCTTTTCCTTTTCCCATTTTGGACGTATAAGCTGAGAAGAGGCAATCAAATTGAGAGAATTCCTCTCCACTTCACCCATTCTAAAAAGACATCTTATTTTAGCTCACTCAGCTTTTAAGCCATCACAAAAGACTTATAAAAAGATGAAAATATTGAATTTCTTAACTTTTCATTGTTCTTTTCTATATTCTATGATTTCTCCATGTTCTTACAAAGAAATGACACTGTCACCAAATTCTATCATTTCTTTATCAACTGATGATTTTGTGTCTGAGCTAGAAGTGCCTGAAGATCAATTTTGTTTGTGAGTCAAGCTTTATCTCAATCTTTTCGATCATTTCTGTAATCTTTAGAATTGTGATTTCTGGAGTGGCAAGGGAAATCCTTTTAGCGGGTAGATTTTGGAGTGCCCTTGGTCCCTTTGATCCCTTTGATCAAATGCTAATTGAATCCGAGTCAAAAAATGATTTCTGCGCTTGGAAAATGTTTATTTCGGCCGATTTATATCTGTACTCAAATTTTCTAAATCTCTGTACACAAAAAAAATTTGATCTCTTTGGTTTTGAGGTTTCTAAAAGTTGGATAACTTTTGCTGAGAGTATCAAATATCAAAGCAACTTTTGCTGAGAGTACAGTATCAAATGCTTGCTAACTTTTAAGTGCTCCTATGTACAGTGTGTTCTTTAAAAGGTAGCACCTTCGAAAGCTACCGTAAGCTATTGTAAGCCGGCTATCGTAATTGGCTACCGTACTAGAAGATTCCCGATTTGAGGATTTGGAGTAGTCAAAAGGTAGTTTACGGGGGGGGGGGGATGGGTACCAGGCTATGAGAAAACTACCGATTCGAGCGGCGCAAACAGCTCGCGAGGTGGCCTCAGCAGCGGCACACGTTGAGTACTGGAAAGCTTTGGATGAGATCCACGCGAGGATTTGCGAGGGACTCACCTATGCAGACATAGAACAACGGTCAGTGAACATCATAGCGCCTAGCCAACCACTCCATACAGATATCCAAGACAGTCTGAAGATCGAGCCTGTGACAAGTACCACTATCGGTATCCATCAGGTGAAAGTTACGAAGACGTGGTCTCCAGATTGGAGCCGGAGTTGGAGAGACAGGTATTATAAAAAAGAGTACCGCAAAACGCAAATGTGCGTTTTCAGACCGATGTACTGGTGGTTGGCCATCAAGCAATCTTGCGCTGTATTCTGGGTTATTTCTACAATCGGCCGTTGATGGAGTTGCCCTATTTGGACTGTCCTTCACTCACTCGTTAAGCTCACCCCTCGTGCATATCATTGTGATTCGACCATCTACAAGTATGATGTGCAAAGCGGAAAGGTGAGTGAACAAGCTTTAGGGTACTGTAACATCCTAGTTCAAACTTTAAACTCAAATTTCAGTGGACCGAGCAGCATCATCAACTCGCCCTTTGTGCCAGTCCAAAATAGATTCTTTTAGGAATGTTTTCTTTTCGATTTTACTTTTGCCACTTTCTACCGGTAAAAATCCCAGCCTAGAACCGCCATTGCCGAACAAAACACTAGTCGATCAAAAGAGATATCTTGTCAAATAAAGCAAATTTTCCAGAACTTGTGTACAAAGAACATTTGTTGGCTACCAAAAACAAAGAAAACAAAAGACAGAGTTTCATGAATTCTTTCAAAGAAACATTTATATACAGTAATCATTTTATCATTTTAAATACAGTTTAAGGACACTGCTTTGTTTCGATCACATAGGTGCCAACAATATCCGAATACGATCCATTACTTCCCGCATTTTCTCCCGAGTGTTTGTATCTAAAAGACATTTTTTTTAACAGCCTCATTATCTCTTATTTTATCGCAAGTTCAATTCCAAAAGAAAGCTCGTAAATTAAAATTAAAATAATCTCAGAATTCTCACTTAAAACAAGCCCTCCACTCGTTGTTCAATGTGAATTTCTTTCGGTTGAATTGTTCTCCCGGGATGCCCAACGACGGAAAGATTACCTAAAGAAAAATTGGGGCAAAGGCTTGAGTCGAACTTATGAACAGGCTATTCAAGTAGGTAAAACAAACCTGTTCATAAAACTCGTCAATCTTTCGAACACTCTTCGATCTTTCTCTTGTCCCACAATCGGTGTTCACTGGTTGATTCATGATCATCGTCATCAAAGTTGAACTAAAACGCAATTTACTCCTTTTATGTATGAATCTTCGCAAACAACTCTTACCTGTGCAATCTCACAAATGTCGTATTCTTTCCTCCAGAAAGCCTGAAAATGCTATCCAATCGAGACATCCACCTAAACTACTTTTTTAAAGTCACCTTATAACTCAGTAAAACGTACCTCGTTGCTTTCGTATGAGTATTTTCCGAGTTCGTTTTCTTTTTACCATCGACGAGCTGCAAAACACAGTGTCCTAAATGATTTTAAACTTTTAAAATTCATCGAAACACCCCCCACCCTCCCGACGTTGATGTGTTCTTCCCGAATCGCATCTACTCCACGGCTCCCATCGAAAAGCCAACGCCACATCCGTGTAGAATGGTCTCTAAAACGTAAATATTAATTCTAAAAATGTGAAGTTTAAGGCATTTAATTAGCTATTTTCATTGAAATTTGAAAAAAAACTAGCATCATTGATCGATCGTTTAAAAACATGCAGATGTATCGCAGTCTCCGGCACTTTTCGTATCGCTAGGTCATCGGTGTTGGGGTGAAGTTTCTAAAGTTACCTAGAATGCACTGAAAAGAAATGGATTACCAGATATTGTTCGCATTTAAGATCACCCTTATCACAGAGAGGCTCATTTTCGGGTTTATAGATGATGGGACGCCAGTTGAATTTCCATTGAGTATCCGGGTACATCTAAATGTTAATTAGTAATATTCAGTGTCGCTGAATGGAAAAACTAGCACTTACTTCCATAAAATTTACTTTAATATCCTTAATCACTCACATAAATCGGTTTCCCGCAGTCATTGCCACATTGATATGGAAGCGGGAATAAACCCTTTTTGTCCGGCAATTCACAAACCACTTTGCCTAAAATGTGCAAGTTTAGAAAGAATTGTTAAAACTGACCCATATCCGGACTCAGCTGAAGACGATTCTTCAAATTAGCATCATCCATCCAATTCACTCGATTGATCGGCGTCATTGCGTGGAGAATATAGAAATAGCGGACCGAAACATGGGTAAAAATTTCATTGCCGCTGTGAAAGTATACCAAATTGATCCCGGTGTCATCGTAGCAAAAATACACACCAGCCGCTCTTGCTTCAGCCTAAAATAATCAGATAAACTTACAACTAAACTATACATAAACTTACATTATGAATGTGAAACGTCTTGCCAATACGTTCAAACCATTGTCGTCGGATATGGGGGAAAGATCCGTTCTCTGTGGCCTGAATTCTAAAGAGACAAATTTTTCTAAACAAACAAGACAATAAGTACCTTATTTCTTTAATAAAAACCACAAACGCACCGATTTCCGGGCATGTAAGACGGACCAGAATCCCCTGATCCCTCGAATTCCGTCACTCCTGTATTGATCTTGAAGTTGGATGGGAAAAATTGCACGCCAACATCCGCGTGTTGCAACTTCTAAATGTGGCAACAATAGCAGAAAATCGAAAAGAATTGTACCTTATTCTTCTCGTAATGATCGAAAAAATCGTATACTTTTGCGGCCCAACCCCACGTCTTGATCTTTCCATTTGAATCGAGACCTCTAAAATTCGAACAGAACATTTTATTTAGATTCTATGGACGAAACTAACCGTTGACAAACTTTGCACGTGAACGAAATATGATCGCCAGGCCAGTAATAGATGTGTTTTACCTAAAGAAACCTTTATTGTTTATACAAAGTTTATATTAACCTTCATTGGAAGGCCATTCTCGCTACATTCAGCCACTACGGCGCCTTGCAAACCATGATGCTTATACCTAAAACGCAAAATTATTAAATTTTGTAATTTAGCAGCAGTAAAGGCATTGCTAATTGTTATAGTACTACTGCATAAGTTTATTTTACGCTAGAAACAAGTAACAAGCTGGAAATCCATTTATTTCTTGAACCCACAAACCTCCATAATCGAAACGATCTGATATTGTCGGTATACGGGAAAGGGAACGAATTCTGAAGCAAAGGAAGCTAAAAATTAAACATAAACATTGAATTTCAAGTTATTCTACGTACCAAAAAACGACAATAAGCTACACCCCAGACGGAAATCCTTTCGGATTTATCAGATCACCTAATACATTGTCTCCCTCGCGAATCGCTGGTGTAGTAGTTGGCTAAATTAGTACTATAGGCTTGTGGGGGGAGGGGGGGGGAGAGTGTTAGAAACATTTCGAATGATTGTACTGGCAATTTTCTTTCTCTTAAAGAAATCAAATGGGCTGAAACGATCGGTAATCGTTTCAACACCTTTTGGATACATCTATTCGATGATTGGCCAACTCAGACACGCCTGGCGGAAACCCTTCATCAAAGTTTGCGAAGGTCGCCGTCCCAGCGGCTTCCCACCCTCATTCGCCACCCCCAACATCACCAGGATAAATGACCCTACTGCATTGTTTTCTTTTATTTTTGCCAATGTTCACTCAATTGTTTCCAGAAAACGCCTTTCTTATGTGCAATTTTTGACCCGCTCAAAACATTTTGATTTCTTAGCGTTTTGTGAAACCTGGCTTAACGATTCTTGCCCCTCTTCCCTTTTTGATCCTTCATCTAATTACTCAATTTTTCGTTGTGACCGTAATAGCAATACTAGAGTTCGTGGCGGCGGCGTTATTCTTTTTATCTCGCGCAAAATAATTTCAAATCTTGTTTTGAGTACGAGTCTTTCTGGATGTGACATTCTGATTGTTGATTTTAATTTAGGTAATACTGCTTTCCGTTTATTTGTTGTGTATCGTGCCCCAGATGTTAACCCTTTAGATACCATCAGCTTTTTTAACCTGTTAGATCAATATTTTGACCCTGTAAATCTAATTGCTTTGCTGGGGATTTTAATTTTACCATCTTATCTTCTCAAAAACAAAATTGCCCCCTAAATCTCTCTCGATTTCCTCATTTGTCTAGATTTCTCATGTCAAATAGTCTTAAAATTTTAAATAACTTCCCTACTTTTCGGAGAAGTGATCATGTTCTTGATTTAATCCTATCCGATTCGCCTCATCTTCTTTCTGAAATTTCCCCTCTGCCACCTATTGGAGGCTCCGATCACTTTGCTTTGACCTTCCGTTTTGTTGTAAATCCTATCGTTTCTCCCATAGGCGCCAATCCTATTCGTGCTTATTGGAGAGGTGATTTCAATGCTATATCGTTTTCTTTAGTAAATTTCAATCTCCTCTTCAGGCCTCGATTCGACACGGATATCAACGTGTGCTACGCCCTCCTCACTGATACGATGCACAAATTGCTGATTGAACACATTCCGCTCTCGACCAAAGGTAGCTTTTTTCCTCCGCCTCATATTACTCGAGCAAAGGTTAGGTTAGAGAAAGCTTGGCATCTTAGGCATACTCCCTTTTATGCGCGTTTAGAATATACTTTGCGTAAGCAGGTGATGAAATTTGAGGCAAATATTGAACGCAAATGCGTTTTTAGCAATAATCCAAAATCTTTTTACTCTTATATAAATTCTAAAATTAGTTCAAATCACGATTCTTCCATTAAATGTATAATTAATCCTTCTTCCAATTCTCTTATAGACAACCCTTTAGACATAGCAAACTCTTTTGCAACTTATTTCGCCAGCGTTTTTTCAATTGATAACCTTAGCGTTATTCCTCTACTCCCAAATCGCCATTCAAACTGTCCCGCACTTATTTTCACTCCTACTCTTGTTGAAAAAGCTATAACCAAACTTTCAAATAAAATTTCCTACACCCCCGATGATATTCCCTCTTTTATCATTCGCCAAACCAAATATCATATTTCCCCCATCCTTGCAAAAATTTTTAATGTTTCTCTTTTAAATTGTTCTGTCCCCACTGACTGGAAAACCGCCGTAATTTGCCCTCTTTTCAAAAAAGGCGATCGTAAGCAACTTGCGAATTATCGCCCGATCGCTTTGACCTCATCTATATGCAAAATAATGGAAGCTATCATTAAGGATCACATTACCACTCATTTGCTAGAGAACAAAATTCTTAACCAAAATCAGTTTGGTTTTCTTAAGTCTAGGTCTACCTCTGATCAATTAATTTTGTCAATTCACGACTGGTTGTGGGCCAAAGCGCACAAATCTCAAACCTGCTGTATTTTTATTGATTTTGCCAAGGCTTTTGATTCTGTAAATCATCGATTCCTTCTAGCCAAGCTTACTTCCTTAGGTATTTCTCCGCTTATAGTTAAATGGATCGAAAATTGGCTTTCCCGTCGTACTTTCCGTGTTCGTATCGGTGATACACTCTCAAACGAGTTTACCATCTCTAGTGGTGTTCCGCAAGGGAGTGTTTTAGGTCCTCTACTTTTCCTTATTTATATCAACGATATTCATAGTTCTTTAACTCCCGGTACCATGGTGCGTCTCTATGCAGATGATTTAAAACTTTATCGCAAAATCCCCCGATCAAACACCCAATATGGTCTTTATTATCTTCAGAGAGATTTAGACTCGATCCTAAAATGGAGCATAACCTGGCAGCTGAAAATTGCCGTCGAAAAATGTAGACAAGTAACATTTGGTCCTTCCCATTTTACTCTTAAGTTAGGGAATATCACTTTATCTGAAGCCACTTCTGACGACCCAATCAAAGATCTTGGTGTTTTACTTGTTCCCTCTCTTAAATTCAACACTCATATTGAACAGATGGCAAAAAAAAAGCTTTTCGCATCTCAAACCTTATACTTCGCGCTGTTTGTTTTCCCTCAATTGCTACTTATCGTAAAGCGTTCATTACCTACTGCCGCCCTTTGCTCGAGTACGCCACTTTTGTTTGGTCTCCCTGCCTCCAAAAGTTAATTTCCTTGGTTGAGAGCGTTCAGCGTCGTTTCAGTAGGAGGGCGTATGCCCGTTGTTTCCCATCGAAAGAAATTCCTTGCTATTCTGATCGACTTGCTCTTTTTGACCTTAAACCCTTATCCCATCGCCGCATTTATTTTGATTTGGTCTTATGCTATAAAATCATCTTCTCTCCTAACTCTCATCCGGAACTTAAAGGACTCTTTAAGATTTCGAATCACGCCAGAAGAACTCGTAGTCACAACTTTCAGATTACCCCCTTTCAAAGCTTTCATAACCGCCAACTGTATCATTCTTTTGCTTGTCGTGTTCCTCGTATTTGGAATAAGTTACCTTGTGATATTTTTTCGTCTCTGAACTATTTTAAATCCTCAATATATAAGCTCGATCTTGTAGCTCTGTCAATTTTAAATTAGTTTTTAATGACATATATACACGTGTCTAATTGTAGTTGTGTTTGTATATCAATTATCTTTCTTCGTCTACGCTGTTCAATCTGTTTGCATTGTCACTTTTCCTTGTCGGATAAAGTATATATACGATGTAGGTGATTTGTGGTCCCTATTCATTCATCAATTCTAGACGTTGCCTGAATATTCTTTTTAAAGAATGACTCAAACATTTGGATAATTATCCCGGAGCCACTTGCCCCACCAATCATCAATTCGACGTCGGAGTACGGGATTATTGTGATTATTTTAGTTCTAGCACCCGAGGCTTTGATTTTGGTGAGTTGAAGATGTTGATGGCTCGTCGGGCAATTGGGAATCCTTAACTTTAAAGTATTGGCTAAGTATGCTAACTATTTGACCTAGTGCTTTCAAATGAAAGTCAAGTAATTTGACTGAAGGCTTGATTATTAAGTTGCACAATGGTTTAACAGGTTCTAGAATTTCTATCAAAAATCAAAATCAAGCCAATTTTGGGGCAAAAAATTGGTCCCAGGAATTTGGGCATATTAATGGGCCAAAACCGGCTTGCTCAGGGAGCTGATCAAAACAGCGCCACAGCAAAAGTAGCCCCTCCGCGGTTAAGTTTCTATGTGCTTCTTGATTATTATTGGATGCAGAATAAAATTATCTACATTTTGCATACTTTGGGATCACTTAAGACAGAATTGTTGTCGAGGAAACCTCAGTTAACCTCTTTTTGAACCCTTTTTGGTATTTTTTCATCGCTGTTTCGATCGGCTCCCTCGGTCCCTCACCACTTCTTCCTCTTTCCAAAAGAAACGGACATCTATCAGCGGCGTTTGCCAGATCGCAGGCGATTACGTGTTCGCACAAAGAATACCTCGTCATTCACTCGTCACTCTTCACCGGGAATTTTCTTTTGCTTTGCAGATGCTATAAAAAGAAGATATTAAGCTGTAAATTTCTGCCCGGGGGTTTTCGGAGTCGGGGATTCGAGCGGAGATATTCATTTTATCGATTTGAACGAAACTTTTCTGGTTTTCGGAACCGATTCGATTGAATATAGACATTCAGACAATTTCCAGGCCTTTTTCCTCACCTGGCACTCTTTTTACCTTCTCGAGGCACAGTCGACAAAATTGAGTGAACGCACGAAAATGCTACAACGAAAGCTTCTTGTTGCTCTTATAATGCAGGTGAAATTTGGATAATTTTGTGCAATTGCAAGTGATCAATTCAGATTTTCATCCCATTTTTGACAATTGCTTTCCCTTGGTTACTTTATGCGGCTGTTGTGGGGTTGAAATTGATCATACCGCAATGTTTGTTTAGATCATTTCCTTTACTATTTTGAATACTCATTTAGATATTCTCAATTTCGCCTGATTGATAAACAGTACGCACGCAATGACGTCATCGATATTCATTTGGGGATTCACTGAACCATATCGAAAATTTCTCACTCAGTCGTGGAAACGATTTCGAAACGTCATTCCATCAAGTCGCTCAGTTTCAGTTGTTCACATTTGATTTGATTTTGATAAAAGTTTGAACAACTTTAATGCCATTCACATATCGATGAATATCGATGCTACAACAAAGACAGAAGACAGTCTAAGCCATTCACCATTCACCATTGCTCATTGACAAGATTCTGCTTTTTTTCTCTGTTTTTTCTCTCTACGAATTGAGTGAGAAAATGAAATAAACAGCTTGAGAAGATAAAAAAGAATGAGAATGAATAAGCAATGAATCAGAATGGAAAGTATGAAAAGTAATACTTCAGTCTAATCCGGTCAAATCAAAGATCAAATCTAGAATTTTCGATCTCATATTGGTTTAGATCCTATATTGGATCTCATATTGGATAGAGCCATTTTGGTCTTGATTCGGATTCGTTTAAGATAACTAATAGATCAAAAAACGCTTGCAAGAGCACAAAGTACACAAAAATTATAGCAGTTCATTATCAGCTTTCAATTTCAATATTCGGAGTCTTGGCTGAGGATTTTGATTGATTCATTTGATTGATCATTGATATGGATTGATTCATTTGATTCATTTGATTCATTTGATTCATTTGATTCATTTGATTCATTGGATTTATTTGATCGCTTCATTCAAGATCAGTTAGCAACCAAGCAACTTCAATCAAGACAGCCA